AGCTGTGAAAGACGCGTTCCCCGATTATGGCCCCAAGGGCATGTTGCCCCGGATGGTTCGTGCACTACAGGGTTGGGGAAAAGTCGTCCACAGAAGACTCGCCCACCACTTCCGTGGGAACTGGTGGCGAGCATAGCCATGAAGATGAGAAAGCGAGGCCGAATGCAACCGGCACTGGCCACTCTGACGATGTTCACTGCCTACCTGAGGCCAGGAGAGTGCCTGGCCATCCAGAAGGTGGACCTTGTGAAGCCGATGCCGAAACAGGAGTTTCATACGTTGCACCTACATCCTGCCGAACGACACGAGGCCTCAAAAGTTGGAATCTCGGAGGAGTCCATCCAACTGGATGCGATGCAGGTGCCAGGGCTGGGACTCGCATTGGACAGGCTGCAGACTCCAGGTCCTTTTCTTTTCGACCTGGGCTACACAGAGATGGTGAGTGCTTGGAAGCAAGCTCTAGTCGATGTGGGATTGGAACACAACCATGCAGTCCTTCATCAGCTGCGGCATTCAGGCCCATCATTCGATCGGTGTCACCGCCTACGATCCTTGATGGAGATCAAGGCCAGAGGCCGTTGGGCCGCGGACGCAAGCCTTCGACGCTACGAGCAGCATGGTCGTCTAAATCAGGAATATCATCGCCTGCCACAGGCGACACAAAAGCTTGTTTTGCAGTTGGAAGATCAGATGAGAAAGCTGGGCCCAAAATTTTTCACCCTCCCGTGACATTGAGCAATGGAAAGCTGTTTCTTGAATTGTTTTCAGGATGTGCACGCATGTCGGAGGCCATGGCTGCCCAGGGTTTTACAGCCATTGCCTACGACATTGACTATGGTGTGGGATGTGACCTCCTGAATGCACAAGTCCGAACAGACTTGACACGATTCATCAAAAAACATCGCTCTCGCATTGCTCTGATTTGGCTTGGCACACCCTGCACCTCCTGGTCTCGGGCCAGGCGGTCGGATGCAGGCCCGCCACCACTGAGGGATGATGCAGACAATCTTTGGGGTTTCAGCAATCTTCGTCCTCACGACCGTACAAAAGTTGCTTTGGGAAATGAGCTGTTGTACACTTCAAAATTTTGCATTGACCTGGCTTGCCACATGTCTATTCCCTGGGTTCTGGAAAACCCCTATACCTCCAGGATTTGGCTCACACCGCAAGCACAGTCATTGCAAACTTTTGGTGCACGATTACATGAAACTCATTTTTGCTGTTTTGGCACCCCTTGGCGGAAGGCTACAGGGTTGTTGGAATGGGGTTTCCCTCTGCTTCAGACATGTGCAGTGACCTGCCGGCCCTGTGCAGGTCGCTGCCAACACTCGGGCAAGCGCCATGTGACGCTTTCAGGCCAAGATGAGTCTGGACGCTGGAAAACACATGTCGCACAACCCTACCCTCGTTTGCTCTGTGCCAGGGTTGCCCAGCAACTTCGAAGTTCACTAGTGCAAGTGGATTTGGTTGAGAAGGGCTGCTGACATTCGAAACTCGGAAGTCAGAGCCACC